GTTTCATGCTGGTCTGAAATCTCAGATTCTTTTATTAATTCTTTAGATTTTACATTTATTTTTTAATTTCGTCGTCTATCCATTTAAGGTAAGAACAGACGTCCATAAATGCAGGTAGGACTTTACAGCCGCCACCGGAACTGAGGACACCATAGATCTTCCCATCGTAAATGGCTCCTCCACCAGAGTCCCCCTGAGACAGAAAAGAGTTATTATCATCCCACTTTGAGTTCAGAGCTCCATCACAGAGTTAACAGGATGTTACAAACAGCGGGACTCACTGCGCCAGTGCCTTTTCCGCCTTTTACATCAGTACAGAAAAAGTTTGGAAGTATCAAGTTGTGCTTTTTAAGGCATCCTGACACTTCGTCTTTTAGTCCTTGACACTCTTTCACCTCCATATCCACACATAGGAGGTTAGATGATGGAGTTGGACCTATAGAAAAATGAAAACAGAAAAAAGGTTTTATCCCATTTTAGTCGAACTGGCTTCTAAATGATCATGTAATCAACATTCTGTTCTTTAGAATGGGCAGAATTTCATGTCGACAGTACAAAAATTGTATCTAGAAATATCATGGCAGGGATTTTTTTTAAAGTTTGCAAAAATTTTGCAAGATTCAGGCAAACCCAACATAAATAATACTAAATAATACTTTTAGATCTTTATTACCTTTATCATTTTCCCCATGTCCCGCCATCTGGATTGTTTTCCCCCTGTAAGCAAAAGGATTCTTTATACAGTCGGCCTCTGGGGACTTTAATAAAGATGGAGCTTTTTTAAATCCACTCTCACTCCGACAGCCCAAAGCTTCCAGACCTGAAACCTTTTCTCAGGCTGAGACACAAACAGGCCTGGAGGAGCTTTAACTCAGTTTAACTCACGGGGCAGGTTTCGGACAATTTTTGTCTTTATCTGGAAGATCAACCACTGGGTGGTCGTTTGTCGCCTTCGGTAACTTCAGGAGCATGATGTCATGGTTCTGGCCATTATCCCTATAGATTATAGGGTCTGCTTTGATTTCCACCACTTTCTTGTTTGAACCTGGATGCACACCCAAAACTGCAAACCTGGAGGACAGAAAAAGTAACGAGACAGTTTCTGTAAAACTTCCTCACAGAGACTCACACCTGAATTTAGAGCAAACAGGAAAAAAACTCACAGAAAACATGTCAAATGAAACCATTTCTAAGGAGCAAATATCTGATGAATAGGTTGGTTTACAGTTATTTTCTGTGGATTTTGGTCCTTTGACAAACACTTTGACTTACATTCTGGTTGTAAGGCAGTGACCTGCAGTCAGAATCCACTGTTTGTGGATCAGAGAGCCCCCACAGTTAATACGCTTTCCGTCAGAGTCCACAGACAGAGCCACATGGTACAGACGATCATCTTCGTCACATTCTTTCCCCCCGTAGATCCTCCTCTGCAGGTCCATGGCTCCGCCGGGCGGGAAGGCTGAAACAGAAGCAGCTTCACTCAGAAAAACATCCGTCTGTGTCTGGGACCAGTCTGGGACCAGCACCCCCCCAAACGGCTGCTGCTCTACAGAAACAAGCTCCGGAAACATGTGAAGGACTCACCTGCACACAGAAGCAGAAGGAAGAC